TGACCTGATATGCATATATGTTAAACTATGACTTTATATTGATGAACTGTATTGTTTTCACACATGGATAGAACCACCACATATGCATGATACTAGACCTGCTTATCGGGCCGTATAACTCATCCTATTATTTCTTCTCTCTTTGTAGATTGATTGCAACAGGTGCAGGGCTGGAAATTCGTGTTTGGTGGCTGGAAGACGAAGCAAGTGTTCTTGAAGAAGGTGCTTAAACCTTGTTTATGTCTGGGCTGTTTGGCCTTAGTTTTTTTTTTTTCTTGATGGATATGTGTAATATGTGGCCTAGGTGCCCCGAACTGAATGTAATATTTTGGAAGATTTTTATATTATAAATTTTGGTTGTGGATTTTTTCCTTACTCTTCTACTAATTGAGTTTTTGTTCTAGTTCTTTTCCATGGTTTGCTCGATTACCAAAAATAAAGGTGTTGAGTCCACTCCTACCTGAGTGAAAAATGTTACATTGGATCACAAACCCATGCTCAATCGCCCATCGCGACGTAAGGTACGGTGGTCGGGGGCAGGGTCGTGACAAGCTCGGTTTGGACACGAACTCTCCTCAGGCTTTAACACGTCACTTCATTCCCTTTCGCTGGAAATTGCAATGTGGATTCGTCAGTACTCCTCTATAAAAGTTCACTCAAATGGTAGGTTGGCTGGCAAGAAATAGGATGTGGAAAGAAATGGTGAAAAGATTCGCCCCATGCGTGCAAACGCTACGCGCTTGGGCGATCAAGGCAACCGAAGGGTTAGAACTCTCTTAACGATCAGCTCAAGAAGACTCCTCCTGAGTAACTAAGGGAGAGAGCGTATGCGTCTCTCACTGCTTAACTCGATTGTACGGTGAGGAAGTTAGAGCGATGGTCTAGGATTGGACCTCTTAGGTTGACTCTAAAATGTATTGAGTCGAGCATATGTCGAATAGCGGGATGCTATGTCGTGCCACAGGTTTGCTCCGTTTTTACACTAGAGATGTAAGGGGAAAGAGACGGGACCGCGCGTTTGCCGAGGGCATAGGCTACTGCGCAAGGCAAGCAACGAGTGAAGAGAGAAAAGAAAGAAAGAAGAGAGAGAGAGAGAGAGAGAACCAAGCCAGACGACTAGGATGGACTAGGGGTAGTTTCTCTCTCTTTGGCATTAGATCCAAGGGTTAGGAGCAAAAGACAAGTAGAACGAGCTTAATGCCTCTATTTCCTTAATGAATGATCCGACCTTTTTACAATTGACCTAAGCTTCTTTATATAGAAGACCCACCGAACAGGGGTGGATGCTCAAAACTAAGCTTAATAACAATTAAAAGAAATTACAATAAAATCTCAAATTTAAGAATAGTGACCAAAATGCCCCTTAAACCATTTTGTTCTAATGATGAAACCATCCTTCTTTGAGGGGCCTTTCGCCATTGCGAGATCTTGGAAGCTATTTTGAATGTTTATGACGGTGATTCAGACGATCCATCATTGTAGCTTTGATGCTCATTTGATTATGAAGAGTTTGATGTCTTTTGATCGTTTTTTAGGCGAACTTTTTCCTGAGAGGTAGAAATCTGGCTAGATCGTGAACTTTGACTGTCAATGTAATGCGATCCATGGTGTTTCGAGTCTTTATTTTGAATGCAAATTAAAGAGGAGACTACCACTGTCGTTTTGCACCAATTTTTATCCGTTTCGATTCTAGCTTGAAGTACTCTCTGAATTCGAGAGATCTCCGAAAAAAGGGATTCCGGCTACCGGGCGATCTTTCTTTCTTCAACCTTCGAATTTGTGATTTATCCGTTCTTAGATTTAGTGTAATAGTTATACAAGCTTATAGCCCTTCACGATACAGTCGCATCGGACCTGGCTATGCAATGATCCGATCTACAGATCTCGAGTTTATTGCTTCATGAAGTTCGAGATGTCTTTTCTTCAAAAACTCTTATTTCCATGGTTCAGGCCTCATCTTTTCTCTAGAAAAACTTTGGTTTTGGGTCACATCACAATACGTGCCATATGTCAAAATGACCAGGTCGTCGAGACCTAACTTGTATCTGAATTTGAGCTTGTTCTGATTCCAATCGAGCATTGTGTAGGCAGTTGCAGGTCATCTCAAGATGTGAATAATCACAACCTCTATGATTGGGGACTGGTTTGATGAGGCCACACCTCAATGGTGTACAACCTATCCATTTTGTGGTAATTTGGGCCCAAAATGTTCTTGGGAGGTTCGATTGAGCCCAAATTTGGTCCCTGAGGGTTTTTCAATGTTTTGGATGCAATGGCAGTAGTTTGGTATTGTATTGAAGCCCCTATCATAGGTTGTAGTTGTAAGGTCTCTTTCTGGCGTGATAGTACATTTTTCCAAGGTCGCCTAGTTACGCTTATTCTACAGTGTTCCCTTGGTCTGCCTGTGTCTTAGGTACTAACAGGACTAGGTCGTCACTGGTTCTCTCCTTATTTGTACCAGAGATGTAGGTACGTCAAAAATAATGTACAACAACGACATGAACCATGATCTTATGAGGCCAAGCTTCCGAGGAACTATGATGTTTCAATTCCTCACCACTTTTGCTACATCTCATGTGTCCACTTCTTTGCCTTCTTTGCCCTTTTGTGTCCCATCGCTCACTTGAAGAAACCACAACGAATCAAAATACCCTAGGCAAGTCACCTCTATACCTTAACCACTCATTCTCACCATAACCCAACCGCAAACTAGCCTTTACAAACCTCTAGAACACTTGGGCAAAGTTGAAGCCACTTGAAAAGCGAGATGAGTCAGAACCGGCATTAAGGCAATCAAACTAAAGGATAATCTAGAAGCATAGAGACTCAGCACCACTCCAAATGACGTCAGAGCCACTCCTAATGGTGACATGAAGGTGAACCCCCACAACGGTAAGAACCAGCAATCACAATGGAGAGAGAAGGGCCCAATGCTATTCATAGTGGCGCTAGTACCCCTGGAACTGTTGCCAGATCAGAAGCACCTCAAAACGACAGCAGCTTGCAAAAGTGACGTAAAGTTACGTGATTATGCTTGTCAGTATGACCTGACACCTGTCAGGACGTATTTACGTGTCCCTTGGTGTCCGTTTGGGTATAAACACTTTGGGAAGATCATAATAGGGTGGTCTAACCAAATCCAGGAACTTGGATTGAAAGATACTTAAAAATCCTTGTGGGGTGGGATCAACTCATGAAATTCATTATATTTTGGTGGCCAGGCTCTTCTGTTGGATTATTAATAGGGATTTACCAAAAACGAAGAACGATGATAATCATGTAATCACGAGTCGTTGTTTATAGTTTTATATCTCTTGAATTTGAGCTCTTGCCTTTCACGTTCTCTCTTTTAAAAAGAGAAAATTGGAACCCAAGCAGAAATCACTCTAACTAATTGAAAATGCCAACTTGCAAGGTTTTCTTAAGATTCTATATTATTTTTATTCCTATTTTTATCTTGTCTTTGATGTTAACTTAATCCTTTCACGCACGCTTGAGATCCCCCCAATTGGAAGTCGAAAAAGTATTCCTTACTTAGAAGATATATGCATTGTTAGTAAAGTAAATAAAACCCAATTACCCAAAAGAAAAAAAACAACCCGCAACCATTTAACAAGAGAAGGAATTCCTCACACAATCCAATAACGTGCATCTCAAGTTTTTCGAACTTGAAAAACCTTTCAATTGACCATCACGACCTCCAAATATATAATTAAAAAAAAAAAGAAAAGAATTTTAAATCCCAAACATAGTTCATTTTATAACAAGTTATTTGGAATGTTTATTTCTCTTCTAAAAACTTGTTCAATATGCATCATTTTTTAAATTTAAAATTTCATAATTAAAATTGAACATAAATTTTCAAACCATGATAAGGTTTTCGACACCATGACAACACCTTCCAACAAAATTTAGATATGTGTTTTACTTGTATAGTATAAGGCGAGCACCTCCTATACACCTCACCCTTAGAGTAATAACATACAGGATTGTATTCTATAAGACTATTTATTTTTTGATACAAAAAGGTTACAATTATTTTTAGCCATCTAATGTGAAATTCAATAGATGAAAATATGTCACGACATTCAAGTCCTCGTACAATGGTACATTCTCACCATTTTGTTTAAAATCTAACTGTCAATGACCTATAAATGATGGAAAAAGTTTATATAAGGTTGCAACTTTAAAATGTTGAATTAAAGATGCACTTCAAAAATCCATCAGAAAAGGTTGTTTCAATATTGAAGAACCCTCTAATCGATCATCTCGACATTGAGATGTATGAATATAAAGAAAAAGAAAGATTTTGAGTCCTAAAAATGGTGCATCTTAAAACATATTATCTAGATCGTCCATTTTCAAGATTTTCATATGTTTATAAATCTAATTTATTTTAATCACTTTTGGAGTTTAAAATTTATAATTAAATATGAAAATAGATTTTAGATAATCCCTATAATTTTTTATACCAAAATTACATGTTATGATAAAATTTGGAGGTGCGCCTTAATTTGATTATTTAAGGTTGCAACCTTATAGAAACCACACCCATAAAAGATCACAATATACATTTCTAACCGATCATCTCGATATGCAGATACACAGATGTACCTCAAAAATCTATCTAAAATGTTGTTTTAATGTTGAAAAAACACTCTAACCGAACATCTTGACATCGAGATGTATGAATATGAAAAAAAACGTTTTTGAATCCTTAAAATAGTGCATCTTGCAACCCATTATCTACACCGTCCATTTTCAAGATTTTCATATATTTATAGATCTACTTAATTTTAACTATTTTTTGAATTTAAAACTTTCTAATTAGTTATGAAAATAGGTTTTAAAATAATACTAAAAAAAATTTACAACAAAATTAAATCTTATGATAAAATTTTAAGGTGCCCCGTAATTGGATTGTTTAAGGTTGCTACCTTATAGAAACCGCAGCCATTATATTAGTGACTGACTTTCCCTTTTATGGCTGCAAAGTCTCTTTCGCCCTTTTGTGATGACTGAAATTCAACGAATCGAGAGCCAACGCAGGAAGAACAAGCAATTCTAGGGAGGAGAGGGAGGGGCGGCACTGACAGACACCCAGGATGTCAGCGTCAATCCCTGGAATTCAGCAGCGGATGGGAAGGTAATGGCAGGGTATTTTAGGAAACATGCCCCCAATGGACTGCCGTCTTGATGAACTTTCCATAAATAATGACCACACCATCCGCACCCACAACGACTCTCTTTCTTTATGATTTTTACTTATTTACCCTTTTACTTTACTAAAATTCCTCATTCCCATATATCCTCCTTCCCCTCCTGCAAACCCAAACCCAAGAACCAGACCATGGGGGAGTACCAAACCCTCACAACTCTTATGGACACTAACTGGTTCCAACAAAACATCCTGGTTCACAGGTCCTCATCCACTTCTCTCTCTAAAATCATTGGCGATTCTATCTCTAAGATCGATGGCGATTCTACAGAGATGCAGTTGAAGGTGCCTCTCTTAACTACTGAAATTGACGAGTGCCCACCTCTTCCCAACCTAAGAAGACCGCAGCTTCTGAATCTTGAAGAACCACCACGAGAGCCGGAACTGGCCGTGGTGGAGTCCACTCAGCTCAAGCTAAGGCGCACAGCTAGTAGATTAGACTCCGGCAAGCCCCAACAAAGGAGGAGCAGGCTAAAGAACAGCAAGAGCTTGTCGGAGCTCGAGATTGATGAGCTTAAGGGGTTCATGGATTTAGGGTTCGTTTTCAATAAGGAGGATCTGAGCCCACGCACCATGAGTGTGATCCCGGGTTTGCAGAGGCTCGGAGAAGAGGAGAAGTACAGAGAGGAGGAGGAGGAGGAGGAGGCTGAAAATGAACAAGTGAGGAGGCCTTATCTTTCGGAGGCGTGGTTGATTAGGAGGCCTGACTCCCCTCTTCTGAATCTGAGGATGCCCCCTCCAACTGCTGCAGGCACAGAAATGAAGAGGCATCTCAGGTCATGGGCTCGAACTGTCGCATCTGTTATCCATCAAGAATCATAATGAAAGTAGCATCTGCCACCCATTAAGAATCATAGTTAGAGCAGCAGTCATGAAGGTCTTTGTTATTGCAGAGCAACGTCAAAACTGTTGTCAAAAGAGGGGCTATTTTTGGTTGCAAAGCATGAATATGACAGTCCTTTTATTGGGCGAGTTCTTGTGAGAGAGATTCTGGGCAGGTCACCCTTGACTCTATCTTGCTTGTATGGAAGTTTTCCGAATGAATGATTCAAGTTGGGCATAGATGGTGATAGAAGACACGAGGACTAATGAAGAGATTTTAGGCAGGGTAGATAGAGATGGGTGGGTTTTAATCTTAGTATCATGAACTGCAAATTGCAAGGCTACTAGAGAATAATGTTACCCCAAATATGCTCTGCTCATGTTTGCTAATGACATATTCTGTAAATTTCTGAAGCTGCAGCCTGTAAAAGATAACCAAAAAAAAACCATTCTTTGCCCTAAAGCAGTCAACCCTGAAGTGAACATGGCCTGGGTGAGGCCTTGAGGATTTCTCTTACGATATACACAAGAAGGAGGGAGTGAGTGATTGTAATTCAGTATGAAAAGCATGCATTCTCCAGACAATCTGCTGCGAAGCACCAACTCAGTCGATGTCCTCTACAGACAGTGCTGTTAATGCAACTTCGTTGTACTATGATTACTGGAACATGCTACAATGGGAAATGAAAAAGTAGGATTTTTCTGAATGATGGGATAAAAAATGCTTCCACAACTGGTAGTATTAGATAGTTTTACTTGTGCAGTGCTTGTGTGCTTGGGCACAAGGTGGTGGTGCAGGTGTAGCGGATAATGTATAACTCATAAATTTCTATGAATCTGGACATACAAATAAGCTTAAAAACTTATCCATACCATGCATATGCTCCAGACTTTAGACTGTAGAGCTTTATGATTTTTTGCACACAGGGCAGCTGTGGCTTGAATATGTAAGTTTGGCAAATTCGGGAATAAAAAGCCTTCCAACATGGAGCTGGCCTTTCCCTCGCAGGGGAAGAATTAAACAACCGATGGGGTAAAATCTCATGCAAAAAAGATAATGTGAATGCTATTCTTCCCAAATTCACCAAATTCCCAACAGAGCGAGATTATAACTGCATACAGACAAAATTGTACTTCTGAAACATTTATCGAATAATAGCAACTGGACATCGTTCTGCAGCTGTCACTGTGGGATGCTAGGAATCAGTCTTGGGCTTCAGTGCTTGGCAGTTGATATTGGCAACTACTTCTCAAGCTTGTTTCATACTGTCAAACCACAGAAAAAAAAAATACGGATAAAAAAATCACAGGGAGCATGATCTCTATCATTGTTTCCGCTTTCAAATGACTTACCCCTTCACTTCCATGTATCATATAATCAAAACAGTACTTACGACATCCATTTCTTGAGTGGCATATTTACACAACTTATTCAGATCACATCCTCACAGACCCACACCAAGCAAAGCGCCATAAAAGAAACAAGAGTACTCTGTTCACATTTTTCCTTGAGAGGCAACTCTCCTTTCAATATTGGAACAACACTTTCTGATCTTGGCGAGAATAAATGCCAACTTGCAACATAGTCTTTTGGTGCATCAGATATGAAGATTGCAATCAGATCCGAGTATCAAAAATGCAACAACGTATAGAACAGGCGAAAGCATAGAAAGGACAAACATAACAAAAAGAATGGGCCAAAAAGTTAATTTTCAGGAAGACATTTAAGTCAACGCATATCTTAGTTGTGCGCCAAGTCAGCCACAAAACCTTCCAGATGCTTTTACAGCATTTTAATCCCTAAAAGAACCCAATTGGTTGACCCAGAGTGCTAGCAGCAACGACTAGCCCATAATAATCTACTGTAACACATTCTAAATAACTCAAAAAAAAAAGCACATTAAAGCGGAATTGAAAACATAGCAGATTTTAATGCTTGCATGAGAAAACCAGCACACACATTTTAAATCCAAAAGAGAGCATGATCCAGGGTTCAGCATCATGGCTGGGTATCCATTACTAAGTATGATGCTTGGATCCCATATTACATAACCATAAAATAGGGTTTGATCGGTCAAAGTAAAGTGAAAAGGCCCAATATTATCATGATTATAATTCAATACCTTTACCTGTTTGCACCAAGTGAGTGTCCAAAAAGTGAGACAAGATAAAGTAATTTCTTGGTAAACAGTATGCAAAAGCCATGATGATTAACCATAAATATATTAGCCACTCTGTGTAGGTGAAGTAAAGTGCAAAAAGCTAAATATTTAATCTTATCATGACTACAATTCAATGACTTACCTGTTTGCACCAAGGGAGTGTCCAAAAAGTGAGACAACATAAAGTAATTTCTATGTGAATATGCAAAAGCCATGATGATTAACCATACATATATTAGCCATTCTTTATGGGTACATACTCAAATAGACAAAGGATTACTCAATTGTAAAGATAAAATTTTGCCCAGAACTCATGCACCACCACACTAGTAAGTGTACAAAGTGAAAGATATATGACTGCAAAGCATGGGTAAGCCAGCAAAAAGAGGCTTGCTAAAAGACAATTTTTAATGTTGAAAAATGTGACAAGTAATGCGAGTACATAAAGTAAGAGGCATCCACTAAAAATGGACGTTCTTCAAAGGATTATAAAATAATATTTTATGCAAAACAATTGCACTAGCTCAGCAAAAGGAAGAAATTCATAGTCTGTGCTTAGAAGTGAATTCGCCTTCAAGGAGTTTGACTCCTGCACTGAACAGTGCCAATCAGAAATTCATAGTTCATAGAGTAAGCACACTTTCCACATAACACTGAAGTAATTAGCTCGTAAACACTCGTATGCACACGACTAGAAAGAAGACAAAAAAGAAGATACCATGACACTTGATTGATGAATAGAAAACATTAAAAACTTCATGTTTCCAATTTCATGTTGGACACACACCATCATTTAGAGATGTTTTCAGAACTACTGTTCTAATGGGTAAAGGATCATATCTCATAAATAGCCTTAACATTGGATGCATTATCTTGAAATGACCCATGGAGCAAGCACTTAAGGAGCCACTCATTAAAAGTCAACTCGCTCACAAAGGTTCAACTTGTTTCTTAATGAATGGAATTGTCCTAACCAAGTATTGGCCATGGCACCAAAAATCATAGAAGAAAAATAAGAAGAAAACACAGGATTTTAGATCCTGCTTATCCACAGAACAACAGGAAAACGTGACATCAGAATGTCTTGAACACTAAGTGCCTTCAGTATATGTATTTTGGGGTTGCCAGAGGCAATCCCAGCCCTTCATCTGCCTCCTAAGAACCCTAAAAATCCTTATGTAAAGCCCATTCCAACAATAACTCCTATTTCAACAATAATCTCAACTATCCCTTTATTTAATGACATGTGTCTCCTCTTTGGTATAAAATCTTTATCCATACCAACTACTGATTGCCATGAGTTTGAGTGCTCGAGGCAATTCCAGCCCATATATACCTCCTAGAAACCTCCTAAACTATCCGCATCAGAGCCCATTCCAATAATAACTCTTATTTCAATAGTGAATCTCAACTATCCTTACATAATGGCATATGCCTCCTGTTTGCTCTACAAACTCTAACACCACCTATAATTTCTACACACATTATCCCTTTCCTAAAATTTCCGCATGCAATATCTCTCCTTCAACCCTTTCTTTAATTTTTTCTGAATCTCTTTCCTCTTTGATTTTTTTTTTCTGAATCCCTTTCCTTTTTTTTCTGTTTCCATATTTACACGGAAATTTATATTTAAGAATCCAAAACTTCTCTCTCTATATAAGGTAGTTTATTAATAACTCCTCTATCTCATAAGCTCTTTCCACAGACTCTCACCCTCTGGACCAGTGTGTGTGTGTGTGTATTTATGAAATGGTGAATTGGTGACTTGTCAATGACTTGATTCACGTACCCGGATGCACGCACGTGCACAGCCGCACACACACACACACAAAGTCACTGATTCAGTATTTCATTAAATTGGAAAAGAATTTCTGAATTATAAATCCATCATCTACCAAGTCATCCAAAATTAAATTCACAGTGAAAATCACACACCCAGACAATTATTTGTTCGATTTAGTCAAGAACAAATAATTGTATTCTGAAAATGATCAAAATCACTTGAATCTGAAATGCCAGTAGCCTGCTATATTTATTCTCATTTATTCAGAAGAAAAATAAGATAACTAGAAAGCACAAAAGACATCAATGTTTATGAAGAACATTAGAGTATGACTCTTTGGGTTTATGGCTCAAAAAGCACAATCACAGAATGCATATACGCATATACCATCATTAAATCATCCTCAAAAGCCTCCAACAAAATAACTGTTGTGTACTCAAGGCCATATGATCTACTGATTAAAGCACTAGTTTGTTTTTCGCAAGCACTCATGCAGCGCCTCAACTTTGACCACTTTTGCTGTCTGCATCAATACACTTGGCTTCTGAGTCCAAATATATTAGTTCCATCTGCGTTGCTTCCTTCATATTGTCCAAGATTCATATATCATAGAAGTGGGTTCCCCGAGCAGGGGTCTCAGTGGTGGAATTCCATCTGTAACTTATGTCTTCTCAACTTGTAATATACATATAGATAATTCCAGTTACAAGTACTCCATTTGGATTTATATGTGATTCAACCAAACAATTATATGCATGAAATGCAACCGGCAACACACTTTTAGCAAGACCATCCCATCAGCTTTCCAAGAAGCAGCTGAAGCAAAAGAAATAAAAAAGAAAGGTAAAGACGCAAGGGGGGGAAAAAAGATAGAATATATGAGTAATAGATTAAACAAAATTGAAAGGAAAAAGAAACAAAGAAATAGAAAGCCAGCCGGTAGCTGACAGTATGACTCCAAGCAAAATATATTTAGTATTCTATCATCCATACAGAAAATGTTCTAATGCATCCGGTGCATTAGTGCAGATATGACTGCACACCCATAATACATACAAAAAGGGTTCAGTACTCCCATAAATTGATGCTTCTTTTGATCTGAATAGCCAAATCTTGCAAAAGCAAGATTTTTCTATATTTGATTGGCCATGGGTCACAGGTCAAAAGCAAGAGTTTTTTGCAATATGATTACCATAAACAAAAGGCTTATGGTATTATTGCTGGATTTCGTATGATTTTAAGTAAGGTGATGCACAAGAACAACAAGCTGTTACTACAATCGAACCTTAAAATTCATGGGCTCTAAAACAGACAATAATTTAGAATCAGTACACAAAGCTGACAGATGTTAGTTCAAATGGTACTAACTCAATCAAGCTCAATCATAGGAATATAATATCTTAATATAAAATCCACACACTGATATGTCTATCATGGATCATCTACATAGATTATATAATGGCCAACAAGCATAATCACATGAGTCAACGACATTTCCTTTATGAATAGATGAAAAAAGATAGTTATAGAAAAACCCAGTAAAAATGCATAGAAATAATAACAACATGTTCAGCCAAATTTATATTTGTGTTTGATCAAAGTTTAGTTCCAGTTTTAAAGAAGAAGGCATAAACTCCTACATCATTTGAACCAATCGTAAGTAGGATTTCAACAATACAAAAAATGCTTCTTCAAGCAACCTGCCCGAAAACAAACATGGCTCTTTACGATTTGGACAATCGATAATCATATTCATTGATAGAAGGATAGATCAAGTTGACCTCAGTGAGAACATTCAACTAACACATACATCACAGTATAGAGAGGATAAAAGAGGAAGGAAGAGAGAGAAGATTGAGATGAAAGACACAAGAAAGAACAAACACTAGCCTGTAAACAGATATGACTAATAAGGACAAATTTGTCCTTTATGTATACAGATGTATCATTTTGAACAATGTTATGTTATATTTACGTAAAACCTATATATAGGTTTTAAGATATGTAAACACAGTGGACAAATGTGCCCTTATGGGTCACATCTGTCTACACGTGTCAACTGCATCATTGGCCTCCAAATATGCATGACAGAAGAAGATATCAACAGATCTACAACTATGGATGGCTTTTATTTGTAGGTAAGCAGTGGGATGGAAAGCTTGACATTCAATTGCAGTTCACCACCCTAACCATCGTCACATGGAATTTGTGAGGCTCCATGGGGAATTGTGACTCCCTTGAAAGCCTACCAATCCAAATGACATAGACTAAATCACCTTTGGCCATGATGGAACTAAAGAAAGTGTATGCATAATCTGATGCCATTCAGGAGGGTATGGATCTCAAAGAATACAGTTTCCAATAGCAGGACATGGTCCTCTACTAGATAATAGCGGCATGACACATGGCCCACTAAAAATGACACAAAAAATCTGGCTAATTACAGGACAAGCTCCCAGACGTGCATGTTCAATCATGAGCCAGCCTGGACAGCCCAGACACGTTCATCCAGTGGCATGCACGTCCCAGCAGTCTATGCAGCCCATCTATGCATAGCCAACTGGCCCTTTTGGGATGTGTTTTGTAGATAGATGTTTCTCTTGAGTGCAGCCAAAGCTTCCATGTGGCAATAAGACCTGTCTTAGGACTCACATGGAGGGAACTTATCCTTCTGTACATCCGTTTTGCTACACATCTGCCATAGGATGGAGATGGTATCCCCACCATGCATGGCCAGTCATCAACGCGTGGCCCATGAACTATTTGTGTGGCATGCTTTTCATGGTCATTAAGACCTCCTTAAGGTCACGTTCTCCACACAGCAATAGACACATGGCACCACATAGACATGGCACATGCAAGCCCGCATGTCCAGATGCATAATGTCCCTAGCTTCTATAAATAGAAGGACTCCCTTTCATTTCAGGCACGATTGAAGACAATGCAAGAAGACCAACCAGAAAGACTTTAGGCCCCCTTCTTCACCAGAACACAATCTTTTTCCAGGTTTAATAAACTGGCTCTCTCTTCTGGGTCTCAACATCAGCAAGTTAAACACAATGTGCTATGACACACATTGCCCATTAGCCCTCTCCATCCTCGAAGACTGCACAGTCTGTGGATCAACGGAGGATGGACGAATCTTGTTAACTTGCCAGATCCTTGCAGTGGATGCGCAACCCCTTCAGGAATGAGCACCAACCCCTTGGACTTGAACCAGATCTTAGGTAAAGTGGATGACAGTACGACACCACCATTTGAAGAGCATCCAGCTCAGTTCCTCGTCACCATCCCTTGCCCAGTTTGGAGTAGCACATCAATACCCATTGTCCAGCTAGTCGGCCACTCATAAGGGAGACCTCTTAAAGTGATTATCTTCGTAGGTTTCTCCTCTATCATAATTTAATCAATAAATCCTTGTAAGCTTCCTGCCAACCCTCTCTAGTCTCCCAGACCCAGTAATCCACTTCAAGCAGATATACCAGCATATGGGTCTGGCTTAATATCCTAGAGCAGGATACAGTGGTATCAAGCATGTCTTTCCCTTTCACACATGATGGGTCATCCAGTTCCCAGTCTCTCATGACAAGAGACCTCTTAAACCATAAAATCCTTTCTGCAGAATGGGAGTTCACCTACTAAGTAAATCATAAGTCAACACACTCAAAATAGGTCAAGGAAGAAACTCCACATTTGTGGGGCAATTACTTTCTAACAAGGGCAACATATGTTTTGGAAACTGAAGACTACAATTAAACAAATGGTCATAATTGAGGTCCAGAGCAGGGCAACAACCAAAAATCCAGGGTCTTAGGAGTAATGGGATGGAATAAATAAGTCCAGCTAGATGAGCCTCAAACAATGAGCTTTTGATCCCTAAAGAATGAATGTAAAAAGCTGAATGAGAACACTTAATTTTATGTCTGCAACATTATCTATTCCTCCTAGAGTCGAGAAGATCTACTATCATCAAGGAAACTCAGGCCGGGCATAGCTCTCCCCACTCCTCAAGTTCCTCCTAAATAGAGGACAGTCCAGTTCCAAGACAAACAAATTTATAGCTAAATGCTAGATCTAGGGCCTCCCAATTTCCTATTTTTATATTAATAGGACCTCCCAAAGCCATAGATCACATTAGAATGTCATATAATTCTTTGCTTGTGTGCAAAAGATTAATAAGAAAATGACATGACTCACCTTTCCAAGAAAGATGGAGCCACCCCACCATCCCCCCCAACTTCTTACTTCTGGTTAGGACACCCACCCTCTCCATAGATTATGAGGGGGGTTTCTATTTTTTCTTCCAAGATTGCCCATCAGAAACGTATCTTTATCTCTGTCCCTCTCTCTCTAAATATCAGGCCCTCTCTCTTGCTCTCTCTCTCCCTCCGCCTCCTTCGATATGTGTGTATGCATATGTATATATAGGAAATGATTTAATGTCATTGTGTCCTTGTAATATAATGAAACACTCCAAGAAAACCATATTTGTAGCATTTGTATGACCCAAAAAATTGCACACACCCTCTCTTCATTCCAATAATCAATCCTCAAAAAGTAAAATACAATTTACACCCTAGATATGCCGCTCAAAATGAGTCCCCCTCCAATAATGAATCTAGACCATCCATTTGGTGGATTTCAAAATCTAGGCCTTCACAAACTCAAAATCAACTTTTTTTTTTTTAACATTATTCATCTACTAATAAAACAGTCATCAAAAATTTTTGCAAAGGAAACAATCATTTTAACATTTGGATCTAAGCATCACACCAAAATGGACGGCCTATACTAATTGAGTTAAAAAATTATTTTCCAAGATATATTTTAATTTTTACTTTTTTGTGATTGTTTATAAGAATGAAAAGAATGTATATTTAAAAATTGATGTCAAACAAATGACCCAAACATGATTTTGTTCATTATATTATAATATAATTGTTGCATGAAATCAGTCTCCTATATATATATATATATATATATATATATATATATACTATGTGTCGTC